TGCATTTGAAGGAAAAAGATTTCCAGAAAATATTCAGATAAACTGATGGGCCTGGGTTAGGCCCTTCCACTCATAAATCGATCCTCATTGTCTGTAATTTCCAAAGCAATGTTCAATTGCAGTGGGCCTGAATATTAAAGTATTGTACTATTAAATAAGGGGCTCTTAAGTCAGGCTTAGTCAGACCTACAAAGTATAAAGGGTAGTCAAGAGTGTGTAGTTGTGCTCAAGCCAAGAACAAAGTAGAACCAAGGGCTGTGACGGACAGGCAGATAATGTTAGGAGCTCTGTCAATTACATTTTGACACACAATGTCATTTTAAGTACATATTACATTCCTCTGGCATGACCTTTTTCTATATATTTTCTGCACATTTTTATTCTCCCAGGTATTCCACACGGCGACATCTTTTTCCAACCAACTTGCTAATAACCAGTGTGTTCCGCCATTAAGTACGCAAACCATAATCAAAGAAGCTAAATATGCTGACAGAGTTTTAACAGACTTGAAGGAAATCCCCAAATCCAATTCAAGAACCAGAGTGGAGTGGAATGTGGAAACTAGTCACATCCATATGTGTAATATGAGCCCGCCCATTTTAGATCATTACCCTATGTTTTGTCCCTAGTCCCCCAAAGTCTGTTTAAACACAACACTTGCTGTGCTACTAGGGAAACCGGGACACTTCCAGATGCTAATCTGATAGGTAGCCAGTCAAACCTATTTGGCTTATCTTATTAAGTTAGTTAGCAACAGACGGTAAGTGCCGCCTATACAAAGAAGCTGAAGAAACAGTGGACCACTTGGTAAGCTGTTGCAAGAATATTGCACAAACTGATTACAAGCACCGGCATGACAAAGTAGCAACAATGGTGCATTGGAAGATCTGCAAAAAATATCATTTGCCTGTAAGCAAAAACTGGTGGGATCATAAAATAGAGAAAGTCATAGAAAATGATAAAATTAAACTGCTCTGGGACTTCAGAATTCAAACAGACAAGCACCTGCAACATAACACCCCAGACTTAACAATTGTCGATAAGAAAGACAAAAAAGTCTGGATAGTGGACGTGGCAGTGCCTGGAGACAGCAGAATAGAAGAGAAAGAACTGGAGAAGATAACAAAATACAAAGACCTACAAATAGAAATAGAAAGACTGTGGCAAAAGCAAGCAAGGGTAGTACCAATAGTCATAGGCTCCTTGGGTGCAATCCCAAAACAACTGGAGCACCACTTGAACACCATTGGCATTGACAAATTCGCTATTAGTCAATTGCAAAAGGCGGCCTTACTAGGAACTGCTTCCATCCTGCGACGATATCTGTAATACCATCAAACATCCACATCTGCCTATCCCAGGTCCTGGGTAAGGACTCGATAGGTAGACAAAATGCCAAATCCAGTCTGAACATCTGGCTGACTGTGCGATGATCGATAATAATAATAATAATAATAATAAACTCCAATAGGGATTCCCAAAGAGACCAATGAGATAATTTTGCTTTAGAATTAGGGGAACTTTGAATAATCAAACTGGAAAAGATAATGGTGCTATAGTTTGAAGAATTATTTTCTGAAGAATAACTACAGATGAAATATCCAATTCATGGCTGCTATGTTTTTTTCCAGAAAAAAGCTTACCTGAAGAAATAATAGTTTAAAATGGACTATTGCTTACTTCACTTGAAATAGAACAGCACTTCCATCACAATGGCATAGAACACAAAACTGTGTCCAAGAGGAAATGGGTTAGGGAAAGAATAACCAAAGTCGTAAAATAAATTTTACAATAAACTATGATCCAATACCAAATTGGAAGAAGCCACAGCCAATCTAGGAAATCCCATCTGTCTATCAAAGCACACGGCTAAGAAGCTGTAAGGCCTCAAAAAAGCATCACTGGCAACATCTTACAAGTTTCCCATAGCAACTCATTGTGAGGATGAAGTTATGTGTAATTGTGCCCAGAGAAACAGCATAGACTCAAGCAACATTTGAATCTTTAAAAGGGAACCAAAGAATACGGCTTTCAAATAGAACTTGGATTATACTTGAAATCAGGAGTCAACCTTTGATCCCACAATCCAGGGGCACACTGCATTTTGGTGGTACATTAGGGGTGGGTGGGCTGGAGGTCATCCCCTTCCTACATATACACATAGATATAATTTTTATTAAGAATGTTTACTAGAATAGTAAAATCTAATACAATATAAACCAGGGGTAGGCAAGCTTGGCTCTTTTATGACTCGTGGACTTCAACTCCCAGAATTCCTGCTTTAAGCTGAGAAAGTGGGCTTTCAGTACTGTGGACTTGGATGAATTATCTGAAATCCAAGGCAATTCAGTTATATTATGTGATGGGAAATAAAATATTTAGAGTATGCAAAGTATATCCAAGCCTATCTCAAGATAACAGCTGGCTTCAAATGAGGGTGTTAAGGGTGTATTTTGCTCCATTTTCTAACTTTGGCATTGCTGAAGACACAGGAGGCAGAAAACTGATAGTTCTGAACAAGTCACCAACTGATCCTGCAACAGAGAATATAGAAATCCAAATACATGTGAAAGATAAGCAGCCATCCGAAGAATTAAAACATTTCATTTTTGAAATTTTAGTTGAACGTTGCAATCCTATTTCTAGCTACAAAAACAGGTAACAATAGCAACACTCTTAGGAATGTCCATATCTCCTGCTTAAAATAAAACTGATGAACTCTTGACATGTGACAATCCTTTGGAGCTACATAGTCCATTCATCAGAGAAGAATTACCCTTCAGAAAAAAGACTTGCAACTAGGTCTTTGTTGATCAAATACTGTAAATCAAAAATCAATGGAAGCCAAGTGAGTCACTTTTATAGTAAGGAATTAGCCTGAAGCATTGCCCAAGAAAGGTTGGGGAGAGGAAGATCAAAGGGAGAATAACATACAACAGTAACAGCTCAAGGAGAAATTGAGTGGTATAAAGCAGTGGTGGTGAACCTATGGTACATGTGCCAGAGGTGGCACTCAGACCCCTCTCTGTTGGCACGTGTACCACCGCCGCCAACAGCAGGTCCATCAGGCTGCCACCGCCACCCAGAGCAGGAGCCCCACCCAGCACAAAGGAGGCGAAGCGGCCAACTAGCAAGCTCGAATAGAGGTGATAGAAGTCACCAACCATTGTCAATTGGTTGACTGAAAGAAAAGGGAGGGGAAGCATGCGCGCTACAAATAGTGATACTCACTAGCCCTGCCCCATTCTTGCATGGTGCAGCACCTTGTATCTGCACCCCGCGGCGTAGTGGTGGCCATTTTTGCACCTTGCAGCACAGTGGCCCATTTTTGCACCCCCAGTTTTTGTGTGCCAGAGGCGGCACTCAGAGGCGCCTCCTTGCCCCCCCCCCCCGATGCTGATGCGGCCCTGGCACTTTGCGATAAATAAGTGGGTTTTGGGTTGCTGTTTGGGCACTCGGTCTCTAAAAGGTTCGCCATCACTGGCATAAAGGAAAGGAAAATAAAGAAATCTTAAGTCTATTTCATACTAAACAGCATCTGAATTTAACGAGTGTTCTGAACTGTATATTTTCAGAAAGAACTTATCTAGTATATATTTATATATACTGTTACCTAGAAAATTCTAAGTTTTACATCATCTGCTCCTTGGATGAAATTAAGCCTAAGGTAGCAAGTTATGCAGAAGAAATGAAGATTCCGATACAATATTCTCAAAATAGCATGGCCCCCAAATCAACAGGTAAAACATATTGAATATTCTCTCTGGAGAGACTTACAATGTGAATTTGGTATATAAAGTTAATACCAACAAGGAGAACATACCCGAGAGAAAATGTGCATCAAAGTTCCCTTAAAAATACATAGATGGTTTTGCATACATTTCCCCTCCCTCCTCCCCCCCCCCCTCTCTCTCTCTCTCTCTCTCTCTCTCTCTCTCTCTCTCTCCTCTCGTCTCTTTCCATTCTTCTATGTGGGCAAAGCCTGATTGATGCAGTGGCGTTTTCCAATGCCTCCTTTTTCAAAAGATTTAAGCCAATTGGACTGATTTAATTGTTTTTATTTGCCATGGGTTGAGAATGGAGAAAATCGGAATTTAATTCTTCTCCACAACCTTGATATAAAAAAACACTTCTTCCCCTACCAGCATAACTCAAAACCTGAAATTACTTTCCTTTTGTCATTCAGAGCCACCAAGAATGACCCCATTTAGAAATAAAAAGAGATATGAATGTAGAAACTTGCACCATAAAAGAATTAAGATCACTGAATGAAAGTTATTCCCATATGCATCGTATTGTTTTATTAAAAGGGAAGGGTATCAGCAGTACTCTCCAGATTATTTGAACTCTTTCCCATCACTACCACCATGGCCAAAAATCTTCAACTCAGTATTACAATAAATCTGGGTTTTCCACGCTTTCAACTCTTTATACTGGAATTAGTTTCTTCATTTGGAGACTTTCAGGAGCAACTCAGATAGCATTGGCAGAATATATATACAGCATGCAGAACCTACATATGTGTCAATGCTCTGGTTTAAATTCTAGGGAGCTGCGATCTGTTCAGATAACAATTCTCATTAACGGCTATTTTAGCTTCACATTTCTTCTTAAATACTTAACAGCATTATAGATTTTCCCCATCTTTTGCAGCCTGTAGGATGGTTCGCAGCTCAGCTCTGCTACTGATTGTGCAATAATGGATTTGTCAGATTTGTATGCTGTTGAATCAATTCAGCAGCATACAAATATGATGTCCATTCTCACATCAATTTACATAAGATCGTTGATTAAAATTTCTATGCTAAACAATGTAATTAAAATATCCATAGTAAAATGTCCATGGTAACACATTCAATGGTAAACAAAATAAAGAACATTGCAAAAGATAAAATAGACACTGGCTGATTATAATCTCATTGCCATGTATAAACTCAATATCACAATGTATGACTAAAACTACACATAAAATTTATATTCAGTCAATGCACATACAAGACAATCATCATCCACAAAGGCCCTTCAGTTCTGATTCTCTTATAAGGAGCATCCTAGGAACACAATGCAGGGGGACAATCTTTGTGTTGGGAGGACAATACGTGAACTTGGGTTCATAGCAGATAACTGCCTTCTATAACTTTCTGACACTTTAGCAGATTAGCACAATTTCACATTTACATATGCTTATGACTAAATAAGACATCATTCAAAGGAAGAGAGGATAGCTAAGAGGAATTCATTCAATAAAGCAACACGTGGCCTTGTCTGAAATTGCATCATTTTCAGCATGGAGCAAATGAATGATATAAACCCATTGGATACAGTGTCTGTCTCCCCACTGACACTAGAGATGTATTCACAGGGCAGTGATACAACAGCTTCCTTGGGGTGGGGAGGGGGTGCTTTAGTTTTATAGCAAGTTTCCATTACTTATATTTAATGCTTTTGGAGTATTAGCTCAACAACTGCCACTAGTAGTGTTCATATTTTAAGTCCCAGGTTTCTCATTTTTTTAGCTGTTGACTTCCATACCTAGAGAAACATTACAATGCAATTTCATATCAACCTCAATAGGTTTTATTAGGTTCAGTTGGATTTACTGCCAAGGAAGTATCTCAGGAAAGGTAACCCCATCCCCACTAGCAAATTCAGATTTCTTTTATAAAGTACCAAGGAGAATGCGTGTTCTGCATTCAGAAATATACTTGGGAAAGACAGACTGAGATAAAATCATACTGGGTCAACGTAATTCACACGCCCACACATAGAGTATGGCAAGAATAGGAACAGAATGCCAACATGCAACTTACTGAATTAAATGGAAAGGAGAGCAGGCAAATTACTTTATGGAAAGTAAGATCAGTGCCAAAAAACCTCAGATGAATCTCTACTGAAGTAACTCAGTGAACGAGCAGAGGCAGGTTGTATCAATCCTACAGCTAGCCAACCCATTTGCCAGTCAGCCATCTGGCTTGCTTTATTTATTTATTACCCACGTCTTTATATGTGACTTATGACCACATGTCTTAAGAGTACACAATCTAAAAACAGCCACAAGATAATACATAATAGGAACATAATATAACATGAAATCACTATGGTGATTTTGAATGCCAACAGGCAGGACCCCCCCCCCCAATCTTCTGTGGGATGAGCATCATTCTCTCTCTGCTTCACACAGATTCTACCTCAGTGGTTCTCAACCTTTTTAATGCCGTGACCCCCAACCGGTCGTAAGTCGAGGATTACTAAACCAGTCGTAAGTCGAGGACTACTCAACTGGTGCAGCACCGTTTGCAGAATGGGACTTTTGACGGGCTCAGCAGGGCAGAGACAGCCTGGACAATTCCTATTGGCTTTTGAAAGCCAATAGAATTAGATTTTATTCAAGAGAGTCTATTCTATTGGCTTTCAAAAGCCAATAGAATAAAAGGGAGTAGCACAGGTAAGGAAAAGGGGGAAAAAATGGCGGACTGCGTTGTTTGGCGACCCCCGTGAAATGGTCGTTCGACCCCAAATGGGGACCCGACCCACAGGTTGAGAACCACTGGTCTACCTGGAGGAAAAGAGCCCAGAGGTAGCAAGAGTTCAATTGTATAGAGCTCATATGTAATCACCAGCACTCTGAATTGGGCCAGAGGCCAACAGCAACCAGCTCCCATAAAATAGGGGTTATTCTGCTGAACTGGCTAGTACTAGATCGCAAGAAAACAGCTGTATTTGATGCCAGCTGCACTTCGGAATCACTTTCAAGGGCAGCCCTATGTAAAGTAAATGAGTGAAGTCTAGCTGAGAGTTAAGGCACTGTCTTTAGTACCTCCTGATCCAGCTGGTGTTATCTGCCAGAGCTGGTCAAAAGGCCTCCTTGTTTACATTTCAGGCTTCACTAAGATAATTCATTCTAAATGTTTCAGATTCCTATTAGCCTCAATCACTTGGCCAATGATCAGGGATGATTAATAATTGGGGAAGTGCAGTTCAACCATCTACAGGACTTCGGGCTGACCTATGTCACAGTATCACAGGAGAAAACTACAAAACATAATAGCAAGCACAGATTATTATTTTTTACTTCAAAAGGTCACGCATCTCCAGCTTTTATGATTTGAAGAATACTTTACCATTAGAAAAACGAATCTTTGTCCATCCCTACAAAAGCAAAATCAGAATTCCACATTTTCTACAGCTCCTAACGTCAATGTTCTCAAATGACATAATTAACACAAGCCATATAATTCTGCTTCTTTGGTGGCAAATAGGAATCACAGGGGTAGGCAACCTTGGCTCTTTTATGACTCGTGGACTTCAACTCCCAGAATTCCTGAGCCAGCCATGCTGAGGGGAAAGGGAGAGGTTCCAAGCTGAGCCATGCTGGCTCAGGAATTCTGGGAGTTGAAGTCCACAAGTCGTAAAAGAGCCAAGATTGCCTACCACTGCACTATAATAAATAAACTTTGAAACCATATAGCTCTGGCAAAAACTAGAATCTATTCAGGGAGCTCTCTGGGTATCTGTTACTTCTATAAGGCAATATACATTTTATCATCTTACTTCAAGAACAGGCATAAGTGTATATGCCTATGCCTTTCATACGCCATTAGTTCCAGCACCCCAATACGGCTTGAGACTGATGGGAGCTATAAGACCAACCTCCCGAAGGGGAAACAGAGATTCAATCCTCTGCACAGGCCTACAATATCAGAAAGTAAACATCTCACCAAAATTATAGTTTGAGGCAGATCAGAGGAGGTCAGGCAAGTAGAAAGGTTGCTCACCTGGTCCTGCAGAGTCTGAAGGGCCAATTCATTTTCTTTTTGACAACTCTGCAATTGGTCCTTTAATTCCAAGAAGCCCTGAGAAAGAAGGAAAAAATTTACCAAACAGAATGTTAATGGAGGATTTCACTGTTGCATTAAATTCCACTAGGATCACACCTTAGATCAGGCATGTCAAACTGTCGGCCCACAGGCCGGATGCGTCACCCTAAAACTGCGCCCACCCCATTGCCGGCAATGGGGGAAAAGTCGCGATATGTCGTGTGATGTCACATGACGTCGCGTGTTTGACATGCCTGCCCTCGATGGAGGCAACCACGCCCATAAAAATTATCAGGTGGAATCAATAAACCTCAGGACCATTAAAAAGATAGAAGCATAGATTCTTCCCTTTCTTAGGGAAAACGGAGGTGGGGGGGAGGAAATCCTATTTTCTAGAGCAGGAAACAAATGGCCTATTATTGTTAGCTATATTTATGCTTTATTTGCTTTACAAGTCTATGGCATTTCCTCCAAGGAATTGCGGGAACTGTATTTCCATGCGATAGTAGAAATTTATCTGGTGAGTGGGACAACCTATATGTATGATTTATAAACCAGCAAACAACCCTAGCTCTGTCATCTTTCTCATACTTCTCAAGCTTCATTGGGGAAAACTGTGGCAGTTAAGCCCCAAAAAGACAATCATGCTTTAGATCAGCAACCTTAAGACGTGTGGTCTTGCTGGCTGAGGAAGTCTGGGAGTTGAAGTCCACACATCTTAACATTGCTGAGGTTCAGAAACACTGTTTTAGACACTGAAAGGCCAAAAATTATTCTCAATGTACAGGTTAGAGAACCAAAGCTGAAAAGAATTGGGCAAGAACACAGCTAGGCTTTTGCATCAAGACCTCTCAAATGATACAACTAAACACTTTCGATCAAGAGGTTTCCTTGCTGATGGAGCCAAGCTCCTGGACACACTTTCTAAATCTGACGAATCAGGTCTCTTTAGCCGTGCCTTAAATGTAACTCAGATTGAACTACAGGAGAAGGAAAAATGCCTTTTACCTGGTTTGTGGTCTGGAGCTCCTGCTGCAGCTTCTGATTACGAACTTGCAGAGATTTGAGCTCCTCTTCCTTCCGCTGTTGGATCTCCTCAATTTTGGTCCTGAATAGGGGAAGAGAAAATTTGTTTGCAGAGGAGAGGGAAGTCAGGGACCTTGCTTTCTTCTCCTTAAGCTGCTCTGTTGCCTTTGGGTAATTCTGCTGGCTGTTTCAATCTCCTCTCTCACCTCCCTACTTTTGGAGGAAATGCCTTTTTCATTCCCATCTCATCCACTCATCCCTGTTTCTAGCTTTTTTAATGTTATTATTATTATTATCGATCATCGCACAGTCAGCCAGATGTTCAGACTGGATTTGGCTATTATGGATCATTGCACAGTCAGCCAGATGTTCAGACTGGATTTGGCATTTTGTCTACCTATCGAGTCCTTACCCAGGACCTGGGATAGGCAGATGTGGATGTTTGATGGTATTACAGTATCGTCGCAGGATGGAAGCAGTTCCTAATAAGGCCGCCTTTTGCAATTGACTAATAGCGAATTTGTCAATGCCAATGGTGTTCCAGTGGTGCTCCAGTTGTTTTGGGATTGCACCCAAGGAGCCTATGACTATTGGTACTACCCTTGCTTGCTTTTGCCAGTCTTTCTATTTCTATTTGTAGGTCTTTGTATTTTGTTATCTTCTCCAGTTCTTTCTCTTCTATTCTGCTATCTCCAGGCACTGCCACGTCCACTATCCAGACTTTTTTGTTTTTCTTATCGACAATTGTTAAGTCTGTGGTGTTATGTTGCAGGTGCTTGTCTGTTTGAATTCTGAAGTCCCAGAGCAGTTTAATTTTATCATTTTCTATGACTTTCTCTATTTTATGATCCCACCAGTTTTTGCTTACAGGCAAATGATAGTTTTTGCTTACAGGCAAATGATATTATAAATCGGCGTTGATCTGCTAGTCTCTGTTCTGTTATTTCTGATTCTGGATGTTGTTCTTTCCAGAACTGGTGCATTCGTTTTAGATATCCTCGTCTTGTTGGACTTGATCTGTAGTAACAGATCATTATTTCTTTATTTTCCATCACTGTGTATCTGCGACGGGTAAACATCTTTTCTTCCAGTAGTTCTGCAGCTGCTGGCCCTGGTTGCTCAGCCAACAGTCCTGAGTCCTGTAACCCATTTTTCACCAGATATCCAGGAACTCCAATATCTAGCGCGGACCTTGTTAACCCGGGCGACATCCGAGCCGGTATGGCATTCTGAAATTTACGTCTCACCAGATTTTGTATGGGAGAGACACTCTTTGTCTGACTCCTCTGATGAGACCTGTCCAGTATGGTTGAACCTCTGGCATAGCTCTCATCTTCCTCAGAGTACACAAGCCCCACAACCACGTCAAGGTAGTGCCTCACTGGGGGGGCTATTATTATTATTATTATTATTATTATTATTTATAGGATTTTTAGAGGGTTTTTAAAGAGTTTTTTAGAGTATTAATCTTGTGAACTCTAAAACTTCCTCCTTCCGTTATGTATTCAAGATGGACAGTGATTAATATTTATATGTTACTTATATGTAAGGGTGTAAGTCTATACATTTGTTGTATATAGTATGTTTAAATGTGTGTTATGTATGTGTAAACTTTGAGAGCAAGCAACTAAATTTCATTTTTAATGTGTGTCATTATGCCCACAGTAAAAAAAAAATGACAATAAAGGTTATCTATTTCTATCTGTTTTATTGCTTGTTTTCCCAGGAATATGCTCCTTTCCACACTTTTTCCTCAGCACCCACCACTGCAGCAGGTTTTTCATCAAAGCACTTTTAACACCATTACTGCCCAGTGCTCCAGCCCCATATCCAGTTTCATTTTCAGTTAAAACCTGCACCCAGCTGAGGCAAATTCCAGTCAAGAAAAGAAGCAAGACCCTCCAGTTTTCAGCTATGCTCAACTCTGGGGACTTTCATGGATACATCCAGGCTTTCTAAGCAGTGTAACGAAAGTGGTTTGCCACTGCCTTCTTCTAGAGTATCCAATTAATTCAACGTTGAAATCTGGCCAACAGCTCTGAGCCTCCCAGATGGTCCCCCATCCAAGCAGTAATTAAAATTAAGTTTGCATAGTACTCAAGACCAGCCAAGGTTAGCTAAGAGGTACAACACTGGATCTAAATTATGCACATGTGTCTAATCTACTCTGTATCAGGGTCTGCTTTACACAGATCATTTGTTTTTGCTAAACAGGGGAGAGATAGACCGGCACTCTTGAGCTTAGAGGCCCTGCCTCACCTACCCACATGGTATAACATTGCTTTGTTCAGCTACAGTGTAATCTGCTATTTTATTATCTAATTTGTTATATCATTATAATATCTGAAAGCCGTACTGCACAGCTTAAATAAACGCAATGAAAATGGGTCCAGGGATCATTCAAGAGGCTGGGAAGAAGGGGAAGAGTCCCAAGGCTTTCTGCTTACTTAACCGGGCCCACTTCAGACCAGTCAGGCATGAGTGCAATTCATTCCACGCCATCAACAGACCAGTCAGGCATGAGTGCAATTCATTCCACGCCATCAACAGGCTTGCGCAGCGGATTCCCACAGGGATCACCTTGCCAGACTTTTATGTAATGCTTTCACGCAGCGGTGATTTTCTGATGATCTGGATTGTAATACTGGCAGTGGATTTCTCCATCTTCCTCCTTCCACCCACCCCCTTTCTCCCAAAACCCCGGCTTCAAATGTCCTTTGCAAAGCTCTGCTCCAACCAACCACCCGGTGCTTCTCAAACAGGCTTAGGTGAAGAGTGCACTGTTGCGCTGGCGCAGAGGGCAAAATTCCAGATTGCCCAGCCCCTACCTGCTGTCATTGTAGAGAGCTTCTTTTTCTGTCTGAAGCCGCACAAAGCTAAAAGAGGACGAGACACCAAGATAGGGAGAAATTAAAACACAGAATGCAAGAGAGACTAAAGCTGATTCCCAAGGGAAATCCCCCCCCCCGCAGAACATATTAACATTCTCTCCGCAGTGGAGGAAGGAGCATTCATTCAGACTTCTTGAGACGAGGGCAAACTTTCGCTTGTAACAGGAACAGCAATCAAGCAGGTAGGAGCCTGGCTAGCTAACAAGGAGTAAATCCCATTCCTTAGCCTGAGCAAGCTCCCCACCTCCAAAACATACCTCTCTTGCTTCTTCTTAAGCTTCTCCACAAACTGCATAAGAGAGAAAAGGCTGTAAGTTCTCACCAGCAATCCTCGCCCTCCCAAAAATGTGACCAGCCATACAAAACTCTCTCCCCTCTTACCTTGGAGAGCTCTTGCTGCAGGCGGGAGGTCTCCGTTGTCTTGGATGCCTACAGGAGGGGAAGGAGAGGCAAACACAGTGACCTGTCTCAAGCATTCAGAGTCTTTCACTCATCTGGCGATTGTTTTGAACAACTCCGCCAGGTGGTTCTATAAGACAACGACCATATCAGGGCAGTGGTGAGACAAGGAAGAGGCACCGTCTAAATTTTCTAGTTTAAAAAGCAGCATACTGAGGATCATTTACTTTATCCTATCCAACCAAAAGGTCCCCATTCCCTCTTCTGGGAAGAAAAAATAAAAATAAAGGCCTGCATTTGGAAACAAAGGACCGATCGCTATGATCCGGATCCTCTCCTGCTTTCAAGTCTCTGTATTATTCTTTGCTGAAACATTCCCTGCCATGCTAACAACACTGGCCATTTCGCTATTAACAGTTATATTAGATCAGCGCACTTCTAATTGAATATAATTTAGTTATGTTGGTAGAAAATGCATATGACTGCTTATCTTACACATGTTATAAACATGGACAGCTCACGGCAACGTTCCATAAAAAACAGATAAATATAAATCCACAGACCTGCTTCCCCCCCCAAAAAAACTCATCACCTATCCTGTCACAGTACTGTAATATCCCACAATGTCTAGATCTACTGGTTTCAGTAGCACTCTAGCCCAGTGCTGAGTGAAGAGCCAGGTCTTCACGGTCCTCCAGAAAGCTAATGATTTGGGGCCTTCCGTATCTCAGGGAAAAGGATGCTCCAAAAGGCCATGACAGCCACAAAAGAGAAGTGCTTCCAAGATCCCTCCAGAGGGCAACATTTGAAGGAAAAGATCTGGGTGTGCCCACCTTATTTGTCCTACAAATAACCTGGCCCTGTGCCATTAGGTCTTTAAACATGATAACCAGCACCCTGAATTGTATCTGGAAGCCAATGAAACTCATATAGCAGCAGCATTGACATGGGTGAATTGCAAGCTCCCGTGCATGAGGCACGGCTGCATGATGAACCAAGTACAGCTTCTGGATGATCTTCAAGGGCAGCCCCAGATTCCACATTAGAGGAATGGGATGAGATGGGATGGGATGGGATGGAATAGAATGGGAATAGGAATAGGAATAGGAGTAGAGTAGGATAGAGTAGAGTAGAGTAGAGTAGAGTAGAACAGAACAGAATAGGAATGTTGAATAGAATAGAATAGAAATCTTTATTGTCATTGTGTAACTCACAACAAAATTAAGTGAATTAAATTAAATTAAATTAAATTAAATTAATCCAAGTGAGAAGTGATTTCACATGCAAATCCAGTTACTATAAGCCACGGCAATTGGGCGACAAATGCTTCTGAGCCAAGGTGGTGCAGTGGTTAGGATGCAATACTGCAGGCTACTTCTGCTGACTACCAGCTGCCAGCAGTTTGACAATTCAAGTCTCATCAGCTCAAGGTTGACTCAGCCTTCCAAGGTTGGTAAAATGCCCAGATTGTTGTGGGCAATATGCTGACTCTGTAAAATGGCTTAAGAGAGGGCTGCAAAGCACTGTGAAGCAGTATATTAGTCTACGTGCTATTGCTATTCTTTGGTACTTGGAAGATAGGGCAGGGATGGAAATGGACAAATGCAATCTGGAGCAAGGCTCCTATGGTCCATCGAGATGCCATTGAACTGCCAGTCACAGGAACCCCAACCAACATAGCCTGTGGTGAGAAATGCTGAGAGTGGACAACGTTTGACCACATCCCATCCTTAATCTATGGCATGGGATGTCTTCTGCTATCCTGAAGATCAATGCTGAGGTCAGAATGTTCTGCTTTCTTCCATCTCCTGCTTTCTTTGAAATTGTTCTATTTTATGTGTGATGAGAAATGACTTCTTGCTCCCTACAAACTACTTCCCAATAGCTGCAGCCTCCAGCTGAGGCAGAAATCAACGCTTGGCAAAGGGGAGCAAATATCAGGGAGTCCTTCTTACCTCGAGACTCTGCAGCTGCTCCTTCAGCAATATTTTTTCCTCCCTCTCGGTCTGCAGTTTCAGTTCCACCTCTGAGAGAAGCTGCTGGGAAATGGCACTGCTACTGTCGCTGTCAAATGCCGGCTGTTCTGAAGTCGTCTCTGGCATAGCGGGACAAGAATCCGGAGAACCATCACCTTTCCCGCCACCTCGGTTTTCTGCTTGCCGGGCCACTTCTTTCTCATAGCGCTCCTGTAAAGCTGCAGAACAAGGATCATCCATTCTGAGCAGACCACAGATTCCTTCTTCTGTATCCCTTTTAAATCTGTCTTTTTCAAAACCGGGCAACTTTTAAGATGTACGGAGCACAATTCTAGATGGCTGGAAAATTTAAGGCGTGAAATCCACACGTCTTAAAAGTTGCCAAGTTTGGAAAAATACTGGTATAAAATCAAGGATGGGCGCTTTCAGACCCAGGGACCAACTTTGCCTCCCAAACTCCTTTCCCAGTCTGGAAAATCCCTCTCTCTTAAAAATCTGCTGATGAAATCCTGTGAAAAAGCGCCCAGTAATAGTCATATGATATTTAGTAGCCTTTCATCAAAATTAGAAGTACAATGGTACGTATATAATAGCCAAGTTTCCAATATGCTTATTACAGTGATTTTGTTTTTTAAAAAAAATCTAGAAGGGAGATAACTTTTTCTCCTATAATACTGCAACCTTTGCAGACAACCTTCCCCATTGTGCTGTATGGACTTCAACGCCCAGAAGTCTCAGCAATGGCCATATTTGGGGAAGGCTGCTGTAAAGTGCTCCACTTGGCCAATCTTCCCCCTGTCCAATTCCTTGGACTTTCCAAACTTCAATTTAAGCCCCCACAATTGTATGCCAGTAAGAAAGCTACCTGCCATGTTCTTCTGCAGGGCAGAATTCTCTGCCTGTAGCCTTAACAGCTCGCCATCCACGGAGCTGGCTGGGAACGACCCTTCACCGGCTACTGCTGTCTTCCCTTCCCGAAGAATCTGATTATCCTTCTCCAACTGCTCAAGCTGCGAGCACAGCTGCATTTGAAAGACCAAAGGACGGGATTTCAGCAAGTAATACATTTCCCAGGACACTGAACAAAAAGCGCAGATGATCCACCTGGGGTGAAATTGGTCTGCAGCTGATCCCAGATCTTCAGGGCAAGAAAAAGCACTTGTTATTCCAGTTCCCCAAAATAAGTCCCAAGAGAGTGCTCTAAAGCAGGGGTCTCCCCCAACCCCCACTACTGGGCTGTGGCCTGTCTGAAACTGGGCCGTGTGAGCGATGGGCAAGCGTGCGCGTGTGAAGTTCCACTCATGCAAGTGATGGGCACTTGAGCAGAGGGTACTTGCACTCATGCACAAAGCTCCACTCGCACAAGTGGAGGGCGCTTGTGCACGAAGCTTCATTCGTGCAAATGGAGCTTTGTGCACAAGCACTCGCCGCTTGAGCAAGTGGAGCTTCACAAACGAGCACAAGCAGCCTCTGCTCATGTGCCCTCTGCTCGCCCAAGCGGAGCTTCATATGCCAGGACAAGTGCCTGTCGCTTCCAGAAGTGGAGATTTGTGTGCAAGGGCAAGCATCCTCCACTCACGCCTGAAGCTCCATTTGCGTGAGTGGAGGGCATTCGCGCCCGCCACTTGCACCCATGGAGCTGTGTACACGCACGTGTGGGTACCATTCACGCATCCCCTGTGCCGGGGCCCAGCCACCAAGTGGAACCGCTGCTCTAAAGCACTGACTATAAAGGATGTAGTGATCTTTCCCTTCTTCAATGGCTTTGGTTTAATGAACTAGGAGTAATCTAATAAATACACCAAATGCACGGAAAGCTTTCACCCCCTACCGATTAGCCTGCACTTTTCCAAACTCAGTAAGCATGCAAACAACAGATGCTAAGAAAAGCTTCCCACTCAGAATGCTTTTTTAATACCACACAAATGACTCAAACACCATACTGTGAGAATGGAAGGAAAAAGAAAAAAACATTTGCAGCAATTGGGCTTGCCAATCTGACAGTCAAACTAGGGTGAAAGACAAGGAAAAAATTCTTCATGCGTGCATGAAGAAGTTTGTTTGGGGAGCTGAAGGCTGGGTTTTGTCCTACCCACATTTTATATTTGGTATCTGTTTTGGGCCAGCAGTAGTAACAAACAGAATAAAAGATTAGAAAAGATAAAATGAATCACCGAGACGAAGAATCTCTCCGGCCTGAGCTGAAGATGTTGGATTAAAAGTATTAAATTATATATGTAGATAAATATTTTGTCCAAGATTTTAGATTCAGTGCGCAAAATATGTTTTGAAGGACACAGGGGAGTGAACCTAGCGCCTGTCTGCAACACCTTCACAAGGTCTTTTCTCAGAACCGATCCTGAGAAAGAGAACAGCTGCTTTAAGGGGCTTGAGACAAGCCTGCATACCTGTGCCTTCCCATGTACTGTTTGGAGACTGAGTCTGAAGCACTGCACAGGCCTAATTCATTCCGTTCTGACTTTGAGTGGAGTTCCTGCACTTTCATAACTTACATTTTGTAAGATCTGATTGTTTTCAAACTGAAGCTGGATAGACATTTGTTAAGAAACTAGACTTTGAGTTTCTGCACTTGCCAGATGGCTGAATGCGCCTGCCTAAATGGCTCCTTCCGACCCTATGGTTCTAGAATTCTATCTCAGAATTCTGCATGGTTAACCTGCAGTGCTATTTTGTGTCACACAGCACCCCCTGGCACGACCCTGGTGGCACTGCAAAAGGAATAACAGTCCAGTACCTTGGAGAGCTCCTGCATGAGAGTGCTATTTTGCAGCCTGAAGTCATCCTCTTGGCTATGCAGTTTTCCCTGAAGCATTTCATTTTCACTAAGCAGTGCATCCACTTCCTACAAAGTCAATAAAGTTGCATGAGATCCCACACACATAATCATGGTAAGGTTCACTTCCTTCCACTAGATGGCAGGTCCAAATCGTCAAGCAGATTGCGCTTCCTTTGCCAATCTCCTAACAATATTAGGAAATGTTCTCACCTACTACCTTCCTGTATTTTTTATTTTCCCTACTCAAATTCTAGATGGTCCATCTTATGCCAAGTGGCCCTTAATTCATGATGGAATGCCAGCAGTTATGCAGTGAGTAGCAGAGAAATTGGTGGCAGGATGTATCCAAGAGGAAGAATAGGTGAAAGAGATATGGAAATCATCTAGCCCAGAGGTCCCCAACCCCTGGGCCGCGGCCCACTCCGGGGCTGTGGCCTATTTGCAACCAGGCCGTGTGAGTGGCAGGGCTGGCAAGCATGTATGTGTGACTTGCGCAAGTGGCGGGCCACTACACTTGCACACGTGTGTGCAGCTCAACTTGCACAAGTCAAGCTATATGCACACGTACGTGCATGCTGGTCCGCTCCTCGCATG